TACATAAGTAGCAAAAGTAGTAAGTGAAAAATGGTAAGTGAATGAAATAATTTGCTTTATTAAATTAAAAAAAACCTTGCATTTGAAATTTACTGCAATTAACTAAATCTTTCCTGCAAATCTTAACCTGCATAAAAATCTTTTTCTATCCATATTTGTTTAAAAAATTAAAAACAATCGCCTTCTTAAAATTATACAGACATTTAAACGTATGACTTTTTTAAAATAATTCAAATGCTTACCAATAAAAAATTGTTAGAAATGTCAAAAACAAAATATTTTACAAAATGCTGCCAGTTTAAATTTTATATGATGCGAATTTGTACATAGTACTAAAACACTTGCGAATCGCAAATCAATTTACGCAAATTTGCGACTTTCGTATTTTTACATAGTGGGCCACAACGACCGAATCTATTTCTTAAGGAAAATGAGTTTGCATTTGATAAAATGTGGTATACAAACAAATATTTTAAATTGATTTTTTTTTGTATAATCACAGTTTTCCAAGAAATGATGAAATGAGATATATTTCCCTTAACAGAATAAAGATGTGGTCACCAAAATAATATGTGAAGACTTCCCGAAACCGTGAAATTTAGTAAGTAGTATAATATATTAGCATGAATTATTTATATTCTAATATATTTTGTTTTAGAATGAATTAGTAATTAGTAAGCTTAATTAATGATTAAGGAAGAATACGGCAATATACCATCTACTTCAGTGAGTAATAACCATCGTATTGACTAAACTTTGTTACAAATTACACTGTTTTAGAGTCTTTATACTTTTTTAGAGTTGGCTTCATTGTTTTGGGATGAATAAATACTGATCTAGCAATATGTCAAGTCATATTCAAAAATCGATCTTAATCACATATTCAGTTATCATAAGTGCTGTCGCGTATTAGCTTTGGAGTAATTTTTGCATTACATGTAGACAATCCTTGATTTTAGCTTTACAGTGCATTGACAGATTTGGTGTTGCCGTGAACATGTGTGTGTTGTACATTAAATTATATAGATAAGCTGAGGTTGTTCTAACACGTTCTTTTGTTCTAGTCTTGAACAAGGCCGGTATATTTATCTGCTGTAGACTACTGAGAAGTAAGTTGTATAGCCCAATGAGCGTATGAGGTTATTTATGTGTTTTTGCGTTCTGCTTCTTTGTATGTTTAGTTGAGTAGCAACAACCAAACAAACTTAAAAAATTGCTAAAAGAGATAAAAAATGCATCTATAGCCAACTACTTAAGTAATTTATCTGCCGACAAGGAACACAACTACTCTTTGTGGAGGGCCGTTAAAAATGTTAAGAGGCCTAAGTATCAAGTGCCCCCAATTAGGAAAGACGATGGTTCTTGGATAGTAAATGATGCAGAGAAGGCAAATTGTTTTGCGGAATTCCTTGAAAAAACCTTTGTGCCACTACCCAGACAAACATCAGAGGAAAATCTAACTCCAGTAAATCAAATTGCTCCTATTCAAATCCCGAAAATTAAAATGGGCGAATTAACAGCTGAAATCAAAAACCTAAAAAATAATAAGGCCCCAGGATACGATTTGATAACAGCTGAAGTTGTAAAAAAACTACCTGAAATTGCTGTAAAGAAATTGCTTTACTTGTTCAATGCATCTTTACGAATAAATCATGTGCCAGACCAGTGGAAGGTCGCAGAAATCATCATGGTACCTAAACCTGGCAAACCGGCCAATGAAATGAAGTCATATAGACCAATTTCCCTTCTACCAGTGATATCAAAACTTTTTGAAAGAGTGTTATTAAATCGTCTAAAACTAGTTATCGAGAGCAGAGGTTTGATTTCTGATCACCAGTTTGGATTTCGGACTAGGCACTCCACTATTGATCAGGTCCACAGGCTGACGAACGTCATTGAAAACGCCTTAGAAAAAAAAGAGTATTGCTCAACCGTCTTTTTAGATGTGGCCCAGGCGTTCGACAGAGTTTGGCACGGAGGTCTCAACTTCAAAATAAAAGAAAATCTGCCGGAGCCGTTTCCTAAGATATTAAAATCATACCTTTCGAACAGGCTGTTCAGGGTTAAATTTGAGGAGGAATACTCAAGCTTCAAAAAGTTAGAGGCTGGTGTGCCTCAGGGAAGTGTTCTTGGACCTCTTCTCTACCTTCTTTACACTAGAGATATCCCGCAAAATGATGAAACATTTCTTGCAACATTTGCAGATGATACAGCGATTCTGGCAACAGGTAAAACTGTTGTTGAGGCCACAAGTAAGCTGCAAGTTTCGTTAGACGAAGTGTCTTCTTGGACTAAAAAATGGAGATTTCAGCTGAATGAATCCAAATCGGTTCATGTAAATTATACCAACAGGAGGGACGATCCGGTTGGGGTCCAACTTAATGGTGTAGTAGTTCCATATGCCAACGAAGCAAAGTACCTTGGTATGACACTCGATGCAAAGCTTAAATGGAAGGAACATGTCCAAAAGAAAAAAACAGAACTAAATATCAGACTTAGAAATATGTATTGGCTCCTGGGAAGACATTCTGAGCTTAACATACATAATAAACTCTTGCTCTACAACCAGGTTCTTAAGCCTATATGGACTTATGGTATACAGCTCTGGGGCTGCGCCAAAGACAGCAATATTAAAATTATACAGACTTTCCAAAATAAGGTCCTCAGAATCATTGTTAATGCGTTATGGTACGTAAGTAACGATACTCTACATCGAGATCTGAATGTGCGTACAGTCAAAGAAGAGATTAAAAAACACGCCATAAACCATCAGTCAAGATTACTTCAGCATGATAATCCCGAGATGCTGCAACTATTAGATGTTGGTCAAGTGCAAAGACGCCTAAAACGGACCAGACCACTTGAACTCGTCGACTAGATCAAAATAAGTTTTGTTACAGGGAACTCCTCGGTGGATGATGCGCCCATAACCCCCACTTCAAGACAGAAAAAAATTGCTAGATAGGAATTACTTTCTTAGTTGCAATATGAAATATATAAAAAAAAAAAAAAAAAGTTGAGTAGCAAGTATAATAGATCCGCTTGGTAGTGGAAGCTCTTGTCATAAGTAGAAAATTGTTTTTGCAGTTGTCATTGATAATATTGTATTCAAACAGTATTTTATCAATAGCAATAACCGTAAATTGTCGATTTTGAGTTTTTTTAATATGTTCATGCTGTTTTATAATCCATCATAGCCAAACAATATCCTAAAAGCTCCGCTTAGCAATCTTTCACATCTTTTTACTACATGGTAAAACAGATGATATTTTACTACGTGGTATACAAAATAAGTTGATGATAACTTAATATGGTTCATTACGTGGGCATGCAATACAGTAAAAATGTATTGTGTTTCAAGTTCATCCTTGCACGGTTAAAAACCCCAATAAGTGGAACAGTTTTAGTGGCAAAACTTTTAAAATCTCACAACTGTCGAAACATAAGTTTCTCTTGTTATGTTAGGTTTCATTTTTCATCAAAAAAACAATTTCATCATCAATAAGTTTTTTTCCAAAACTTTTCTACTAAAAATAAATTAATGTTTGATATTACAAAGTTTTAAAAATTTTTTTCAAAGTTTCCGTCTGGTTTTTTTTGTAAATGAGAATTTTTTTTCTTTTTGCGAGATATTTCGTCTTTGGTTCTCTTAAAACTTTTTCAACTAATTTCTGGAATAAGTCTATCTGTCTATTACATTTACATATTTCAGTATTATATTTAAATTAATTAAACCCAGGGTAATCTTTCACTTATCAATAGAGATAAGTGAAAGTATTTCAAAAATATTACATTGTCTTACTAATAGCTTAAATAACCGTATTAAGCTGTATTAATGGATTAAAAAATATATATATAAAAATATTGCATGTAATCAGGCTTAATTTTCTTCAATTGAATTTTTTAAAGAAGTTTCACATATATTTAATTAGGCTTAATCATCTTAAAATATTATTGTTAACCCTTAAATTATGACAAAAACTATTGAAACTTGAAACTTTATAATATTGAGCCTTATTCTAGTTGTCGCGTCACTTACGTGACATTTGTCGTTGTCGCTGTCACATCACTTGAAATGTGGTATTCTAGTTGTCGAGTGACGTGACTGCGAGAAATAAACGAAAATGAAACGTTTCAAGTGAAATTGATACATTTTAAAAAGAAATTTCGGCGAGTAAAATACAAACTAGAAAAAATTTTCAGTGTATATACTTATATTTTTAAATAATAAAAAATGTCATTTGCATTATGGTTTACGAATTCATCTCATTCCGGTAGTGATGAAATTAAAAAAAAAACAACAATTAAGGATCGAAAGATTTAAGATTAGCAACAACTCTAATCCAATGGATTTGCCAAATTTTTTCTATTAAAAAATTAAATGTTTGCAACTAATTTACAAAAACTAATTTTTGTAAATTAGTTGCAAACATTTTATTTTATTCACAGATTTATAAACTATCACAGACTTCCATAGGAGGCCTTTGTATATTTACTGAATATATTCGAGAGAAAACGAGTACCCGTAGAAGCCGTGCCCTGTCATGAAATTTCCAATTCTTCAAATTTATAAATGCTAAAAACAAAAATTAAATTGTATATTTTATGACTTGATTTATGTATAAAATTAATTTTTTTATGATTTTGTTAAATTGTTTTGTTTTAACTTGCATTTTTGGTGTATCCTTCTTTCTTGTCACTTGTAAATACTTTTCGACAAAAAACGTCGTTTCACTACGACATATCTCGCATCAGAACGACAACTGGAATATGGCTGAAACACATTTTCCCGCTATTCCCCGACGATTGTCACTGCGATCGCCGCTTAGAATATCAAATTCAAGTCGTAACGACAATTGTCGCTCTACTTCGACAACTAGAATAAGGCTCATTGTATTCCCTTGTAAGTAATCACTGTGAAAATTTACATTTTACAAAGTAAAAAATCTTCAAACCTTCAAAAGGTTCAAGACGTCAAAAATCTGGCAATAGCGTTGCTGTCTCGTGTTAAGAAATAATTGAGTTTTGAAAATGTCAAAGTATGTACGTAATATGAAGAATATAATATATTAAAATTATTACAATTTGTCAAAAAGTTAAATTTTCTTTAAATTTTTAAATGGCCGTTAGCCGTAAAATAAACTTTATTTAGTCGTTGAAAAAATAATAGAGTTTTTATATTTGTCATATAAAATATGCATTTTAGTTTAATTAAAAATCTTAAATATTCAGCAGCCCTATTTTGTACACAAAAGAAGATTTTGTTTGGACCTGTTTTAGAAAAATGGAAAGAAAAATTCAAAAAATCTAATATAGGTACTTTTGATTTTGATATGAGATGTTTGATGGCTCACATTCTTCAAGAAGATTTTGTAAGTACATATGCCACAGATTTTATTATTATTAATAAAAAATGTATTATATTACATAAATATTTATATACAGATATCATAGGTATATATGTACATACATACATAAATACATGTAACAAGTGTTTTCTTTTAGAAATCCGTTAAACCAGAAAGTTTACCTAATCTTCAACTTACTGAAGACCAGATGAAAACTTTAGAAAGATTATTTGAGTGTCGTTTGGCAAGGGTTCCAATTCAATATATATTAGGTAAATTACTTTCTTTTTAATTTTTTTTTATTCTGCTTGTCTTTTGTATGAATATCTGCATTTTTTTAGGAGAATGGGATTTTTATGGACTGAATTTGAAAATGCAACCTACAGTTTTTATTCCCAGGCCAGAGACAGAGAGATTAGTAGAATTAATTATTGAGGATGCAAACAAGGAAGTTGATATAAAATTTTTAGAGGTAGGATGTGGTACTGGTGCCATTTCATTGTCAATTTTAAACAACATTCCTAAAGCCACAGGGATAGCAATAGATCGCAGTCGTATGGCCTGTACTTTGACCACTGAAAATTCGATTGCTTTAAATTTGCATGACAAAATTAAAGTTTACCACCACATTGTATCACCGGAATCTTACTTGCCTAAAGCTATTATAAATGAAAAGTTCGACTATATTGTTAGTAATCCGCCTTATATAAAAACATGTGACGTAGCTTTACTACAGCAAGAAACAAAATTGTAAGTATTTATTTTTTAATTATTATTATAGGTATGTATTACAATAATAATCACTTATAATTACTACAAAAATAATTTTTTATAATAAATACTAATATAAGAAATTCAATAAATTTTATATTGGTTGATTTTTATTTTTATCTCTTAGGTATGAAAATCTTAATTCCTTGGATGGAGGAAGTGATGGTTTGAAGATTGTCAAATATATTATGGAAATAGCTAGTAACCAATTGAAGTCCAAAGGAAAATTGTGGTTAGAAATTGACCCAACTCACCCACTAGTTATCAAAACTATTGTCAACGCAATATATCCGAATAATTTGGAATACGTGGCGAGCCATCGCGATATATTTCAAAGAGAACGTTTTGTGGAGATTTTAAAGTGTTAAATTTTCATTTTTACTCGAAGCCAATTGTAATTGTCGGAAACAAAAAAAAAAGAAAACTTTTTTGGTATTCATACGGGATATTTTATTTCAAAAAATGCGCGGAAATGCGATTATAAGTTTAACAAGGCATAATATAAAAATGCAATTTATACATTATAAAACAATTCATCTTTTATGCTATGACAAGAATCATAAATTTACTTGGTCTATTTCCAAACTCTTAAAAGCGAAAGTCATGATATCAGTTGCTTCCTCTATCTGAAATGAAAATATATACAAAAAAAGCATGGTTTAAATTATTTATTTTAAATTCATTTAAAGCAAATCAGGTTTTTAATTTTCAAATTCATTAAAGTATTTCTAACAATAATAATTTTGGAAAATCGTTTATATTTTAAAGTAAAATAAAAACAAAATTTATTTCGACTTGAATATTTAAAAAAAAAAAAATTGGGTAAATTTGATAAAGATGATAAATTAAAACTTTTTGTTTTCACAAACAGTGCTGATCATATGCGAACCAGAGTTCGTAGTACGTAGGAAAATCAAATAGAATAGAAAAATATCATTAAGCAATGAAATATTTGATTATTGTTATAAGTATAAAGAATATAAAATAAATACAAGTTAGAAATATTATTGTTTTTACTATCTGTACAGTTTGATTTACTTAAAGAATTGGTAACGATTTATAACGTTAAATTATTTGAAAGAAATAAAATAGTTTCCACAAGTACCTTTTTCGCAGTAGGCTTTCCTGCACCATGACCGGCCTTCGTATAAACACGCAGCAAAATAGGTTTGTTTTGGAATTTTGACGATCTAACAGCATCCTGTAACGCCGCTGCAAATTTTAAAGAGTGTAATGGACTTACGCGATCATCATGGTCTGCAGTTAAGAGTAATGTTGAAGGATACTCTTCGATGTCTAGAAATAATAAATTAAACGCAACAAATTTGTTCTAAATTTAGCATTCAAAAAATTTAATTTAAAATTTTCTTGAATGCTAAGCTTTCTAAATTTTAAACAAATTTCACAATTTGCTTGTAGTTAACCTTGTTTTACTTTCAATTAAGCTTTTTTGAGTTAACTAAATATTTATTTAACATACTTTTTCAATGTTCTATTTAGTATTTTCACTAAATAGTAAATAATTTTAGAATCGTTATATGATTTTTATTATAGAATCACTAAATTAATATTTTGTAAATTAATCCTATATTAATTTTAATACCAAAAGTATGATTTTTAAATTTGAATGAAGACTCCACATTACTATATTTTAAGAAAACGAACTTTCCATTATATTCTGTAACTAATAGTTAACAAAGTTGAAATTATATAGATAATCTGAATAACTAACCGAACAAATGGCACGACCTTAGGAAAGAAACAGGACAAGAACATAGTGAAAATTTAAAAAGGGTATGAAAAAGAAAATATTCTCCCTAGTTAATCATCACCCAAAAATAAAAATAACGGATTCTCAATTGTAGCATGGAACGTAAGAAATTTAACACCAGAAAAATTTTAAAATTTAGAAGCGGAGAAAAAACGCCTAGAAATAGACATTCTGACAATAATTACTTTTTATTTTCAGGACTGGATGAAGATCAAGCTAAATTATTTGGAGTTGGAACTCTAATTAACAAAACGACTCCATGACTTGCGAAATTCCAAAATCTGAAATGGTAATTTTTATGCAACTCAGAACAGACAAAACTAACATGAATAAAATTCAAGTATATGCTCCCACGACAGCAAGTAACGAAACTGAAATACATAGATAAATAATGAAGAACACAAAAAAGAAAGATTGTACAATAATTCTAGGTAACTTTGCGAAAATTGGGAAAGGCTAGGTAAGGAACATAGTAGGAAATTATGGGCTTGGAAAAAGAAACAAAAGAGGTGACATGTTAATAGAATTCTGTACCGAACACTAGTTAGTTGTCACACATACGTGGTTTTTTACTTTCGCCAAGGAATGATATTACAACAATGATCAAAAATCAAATTGATTATATATTGATAAACTCTATAAAAATAATAGAGAAATGCGGTGAAAAATGTCAAAACGTATCCTAGTGCAGACCTTTATTCTGACCACAACATGTTAGCTGCAAAAGTAAAGGTGGTGCTAAAAAAAGTAAAGAAAAAATCGTCCAAGCTGAAGCTAAACCTAAACCTACTCCAAGATATAACACAAAAGAATACAATGACTAACATAATGAACGAAGAACTAAAACCATTAAAGGAAACAATTGATAACGAAAACAACACTAATAAACCGTGGGAAGTCTTTACAGCACCGGTACCACGGGCTGTAAGTTCATTGAGATCAAAAAATAGCAGGCAACCAAAAAATAAATGGATGACCAGTGCTCGAAGTGAGGCGGGATGGAGTGGGATGCCATCCCAGTACTTTTAAATAATTGGAAATCCATCCCACCACTTAATAGGAGAGAAAAATGCGTTCCGGAACATGTTTTTTAAAATTCAAGAAAATTTTCTAAAGAATTTTAAAAATTTTTTTAACAAAAAATTAAATACATATATGTAATTTTAAATAAGACCAATTTCAAATAGTAACGTATAATTTTTTTCTATTAATGAAATTTTCGTTACTACATAGTAGTCTATGCATCACTTTTGTAACAATTTGCACAGTTTTTGATTCAATTTTTAGTTGATTTCATTTTGAATATAAATATTCGCGTTAGTTTACTTCCAAAGTTTGGTAAATTTTTTTTAGTTATTTTTTTAAAAAATAACTAAATACTTTTTTTTTCACAAAAAAATTCACAAAGCATTAAGAAAAGAAATTAATTTAGCAAAGTCAAGGCACTGGGAGTAAGAGTACGTTGACAAACGAGGCGGCAGTGCAAAACTACACAAAAAACTTAAATTCGCAGTAAAATCCGTGAAAAGATCTGGTCAAACGAAAAATTGTTGATGTAACAAAAGTATATTGAAGAACTGTTCAATGACAATCGATAAGAAAAATCAACCATAGAAAATACTGAATGTCCAGAAATTCTAGTAGACGAAATTAAGGCTATAATAAATGACCCAAAAAATGAGTTAGCGATGGTTCCAGATTAAATTTTTTTAAAAAATAACTAAATACTTTTTTTTTCACAAAAAAATTCACAAAGCATTAAGAAAAGAAATTAATTTAGCAAAGTCAAGGCACTGGGAGTAAGAGTACGTTGACAAACGAGGCGGCAGTGCAAAACTACACAAAAAACTTAAATTCGCAGTAAAATCCGTGAAAAGATCTGGTCAAACGAAAAATTGTTGATGTAACAAAAGTATATTGAAGAACTGTTCAATGACAATCGATAAGAAAAATCAACCATAGAAAATACTGAATGTCCAGAAATTCTAGTAGACGAAATTAAGGCTATAATAAATGACCCAAAAAATGAGTTAGCGATGGTTCCAGATTAAACTTCAAATGAAGTGATAAAAATACTGAATGATTAAAGCATAAAAATACTGGTGAAATTATTTAATAAAATATACAATTCCGGTATCATTCCTAACGAATGGCTAAAATCTACTTTTGTTGCTTTGCCCAAAAAAGCGAAAACTGTAATATGTTTAAGAAAAAAATGTTTAAGAAAACTGTAAAACTGTTAAGCTTATTAATCTAAAGACTTTAGGTTAATAAGCTTAATGTCCCACGTGCTGAAGATTTTCTTAAAAGTCATACATAATCGAATATTCAGGAAGCTTAAAATGGACATGCGAGATACTAAATTTGGTTTTAGAAATGCGATCGGCACGAGAGAAGCCATGCTAAACACAACTTTTCAAACAAGTTATGAAATGAATTCAGATGTCCACGCTTCCTTCATCGTTTTCGAGAAGGCATGCGACAACATAAAACATGACAAATTGCTCCAAAGAATCTTAATGGAAAAAATCTTAGAATCATTCAAAATCTATATTGGCAACAAAGAGTAACAATAAGAACAGAAGTTAGACAGGGATGTATTTTATCACCCCTGTTATACAATGTGTATGCACAAACAATATTCAATAATGTGCTGGAACAAAATCAAAAAGGAATTACGATTAACGGTGAAAAAATTAACAATATTCGATTTGCTGATGACACTGTCCTTTTATCTTACAATGTAAGCGATCTTGAAAAGCTGCTCGATGACCTGAACGACCAGTGCAGACAATATGGCCTAAAAATCAACACAAAAAAAAACAAAATATATGGTAATATCAAAAAATTGTGAAGCCAATACCGAATTGTTACTGGAAGACAAAAAATTGGAACGAGTGCAGAGAATTCGATACCTGGGTGCAATGGTAGACACTATGACATCCAATCAATGCGAAGCACGTTCGAGAACCTAGCAGGCAAAAGCAGCATTTACAAAAATCAAAAAAATATTATGTAGTAGGAATATCAACCTCAAAAAAATCAAAATACTTAAGTGCTATGTTTTGTCTATCCTACTGTATGATGTACTATAACTCAGACTGAACCAAATAAGATTGAGGCTTTCGAAATGTGGTATTACCGAAGAATTCTGAAAATAAATGTGGTATTACCGAAGAATTCTGAAAATATCATGGCAGGATAGAATTAAATATTCAGAAGTTCTAAGGGGGTTGAATCGTTAAAAAACTTTGGTGCAAACTGTAAAAATAAGAAAAACCAGGTACTTCGGTCACAACATGCGAAATAACAAGTACAGATTACTCCAACTTGCACTACAAGGCAAAATCTTAGGTTGCAGAAGTAGATGACAAAGGAGGAAATTATAGACTGATAATCTAACTGAATGGTACGGATTATCTTTCACTGTGCTCACTAGGAAGGCTAGTTCACTTAATGAATTTATAGATGTGGTGTCCAACCTCTAAAGCGGAGAGGAATAAGAAGAAGAATTCAATTCTGTAAACATAATTTACAATATGATTTTAACTACAGCAAACTTTAATTAAAACTTAGTAGAGTATTGTAAAAAGAACCTATATAAAATTATAAATGATATAGGTGTGTAGTCTTATTTGATATAGGTGTGTTATTTTAAAGAATTTATTTTCAATAAATTGCAATTACCGTTTCTTGGTTCATGGACATTATGTAACGGAGAATACTTATAAAGATTTTCAAAATCTTCCTTTTTTTCAGATGGATTCCCATAATCGGAACACCAAGCAATTCCAATAGTAAATTTATGAAATCGCAACATGTCCATTACGCTACAATGTTATTCTAATTAATTTTATTGCGGAACAACCGACCACTTTCTTACCCAACTTGAGCCACAGCAGCACCAAACAACTCCGGGGTTTGATTAATACAAGCCCCAACTAATAATCCACCGTTTGAACCACCTTGAATCATAAGTTTATTTTTGGTTGTATATTTGTTGTTTATCAAATATTTAGCTGCGTGTTGAAAATCATCAAAAACATTCTGCTTGTTAAGTAAGCGTCCACTATTATGCCATTTTTCTCCATATTCGCCACCCCCCCTAATGTTTGGATATGCCAATACTCCATCAAAGGTGTCTATAAACATAAGTCCAGTGATATTGAAAGTTGGATTTAAGCTTACGTTGAATCCACCATAACCATAGAGCAAGCACGGTCTAGGTTGAACCTCCTTGGTTTTTTTTCGTATAACAAACATAGGCACTTTTGTGTTGTCTCTACTTTTGTAAAAAATTTGTTCAACAATGTAGTCCTCTTTTTCAAATTTTTTTAAATTAAGCTTTATATCACGATATACTTCTGGTTCTGATTGGATACCGTTCGCAAAATCAAACCGATATATAGTTCCTGGGTTTAAAAAAGATATAAATGTGAAAAATATTTCTGTAAACTTCCTTTCACCGCTAAGAGAGACTGTTCCAATATCTAAAGGAAAATCACGAATATAATTCCCCGACGTTAAATCGAATACTTTTAAAACATTCTTAAAAAAAAACACATAAGCCGTCGCATTTTAAAAAGTTACATACACTACCTTACCTTCACGTCATGCATATACGAAATAATAAGATAATTGTGCGCACAACATAAAACCTCATCTATTACATCAGTATCGTGTTCTTTTATGAGAGTTTTCCAATGTTTCTTATTTGGATTATTAAAATCAATCACAATAAGCTGATAATTTGGGGCATCTTTATTTGTTCGAAAGATCATATTTAATCCGTTGTTAGTGATGTATTCGTAATCTGCTTCGAACTCATTTATAATGGGGTATATAGTTAAGTTTTTTGTAATGTGTCCTTCTTTTTCTAAATCAGCATAATAAACCATATTATCTCTACAATCTTTTACCACGTTGAGAATTAAGTATTTTCCACAATCTGATACAATTGGATCTGTTCGCCATATTGGTTCGTTAGGAAATTCGACACATAAGGTGTCGTTACTTTGTGGATCACCTATGCGGTGATAAAATAATTTCTCATTTTCATTAGCTTGAGTTTCAGATCCATCAGTTTTTCCATCTTGATCAGGATATTGGGAGTAAAAAAATCCCTTATTGTCGTGCGTCCAAGCAATCGAGGAAAATTTAATTTTCTCTAAAACTTCCCCATATTCCCTATCTGTTTCTACATCTTTAATTTTAATTTTTATCCAATCTGAACCACTTTCACTTAAACCATAAGCAAAAATTTTCCCATCATCTGAAAAAGCTGTTGTTGATAATGCTACCGTACCATCTTCAGATAACTGATTAGGATCTAAAAAAACCCTTGGATCTGGATCATTTAAATTTTTCAATTTAAATAAAACACTTTGGTTTTGAAGACCGTCATTCTTAAAAAAATAGTAGTTATCGCCTTCACGCCATGGGCAAGTATATTTTGGATAATTCCACAGTTTAGTTATTTTTTCATTAAATTTCTTCCATTCGGGACAATCTTCCAAAAATGGTTGGCTAATTTTATTTTGTTGTTCTACATAATCTTTGGTTATTTCAGAATCTGGATCTTCCAAGCTTCTATAAAGATCTGTAATCTAGAATATTTTAAATTAGTCATTTCAAGCTTGAGTCACATATACAATTTATAAAATTTTTATTGACCCATACATATGTAATTTGAAAACGAAGCATATTTTTGGAAAAACATTTTATTTTCTACGTATATACACTATATTACAACAAATTGGCTGTAAATCATTACTATTCTAATCATTACAAAAAATGGAATATATACATACATATGCACATGATCTTTAATATTAATACATTTTAAATTTGTGTTAGCAGATATGTAGCTTATTTATAAAATTCATTTGTAATTTGTTTATAACATCCATATGAAAACTTACATCAAATATTAAATTTTATTATTAAAAACTTTAAAATAATTTAATTCTTACCTCTGTCCCGTGAAAATTATCAACCGTTTTGCTTTTTGGAGCGATAGGGTACAAAAATGACTGAGATTTAGACATTTTAAATAATAACAGGGATACTGTTGAGAAATTGTATGTATTGTTAAAAACGTGTTGAAACGTAAGGATTTAAGATTTTACCAAAATTATGAAATTCAGAAATATTCTTACAATTCCAAACCAATTTTAGAACACTTTTCGATGATACAATTTGAAAAAGCCTTTTAATTGCAAATATCATTGTGGCTACTTGACATTCAATTTAATTTTACCACAGGGTTGAAAATTCGATTCTCGAAAAAAAAAGTGGACAGGATTAAATTTGAACTCAATTATCTTATTTTAAAATAATAACAAATTATAGTCGCATGAAAAATAATAAAAATCGCAAGCATTTTTTCCACTATTGAAAAAAAATGCTCGAAAATATTTCTTAGTTAAGTTATTTTGTGTATGATGTTTTGAAAATAACTCATTAATTTTTTTTTAAGTTATTTTAAAAGTAGTGTTGAAATTTGTTATTTATTAAAATTTATTTGTTATTTTTTTTCTTCTAAAATAACCTATCTGGAACGTTATCTGACAATTTTTAAATTTAAATGATGTCAAATATAATATTATTTGATGGTAAAAAAAACCATTTTGACAATCGAGTTCGTTTTTACACAATGAAGCCTAAAAACAAAAACAACTGAGTTCCTATTTTTAGATTCTCCTACAATGCAATACTTTACCGGGAAAAGAAATTTTTCGAGCTAACAAATTCGTGTGCTATAAGACAGGCATTTTTATGTAAGATACACAATTTTCTAATTCATACTACAGATGGTGTTATGTATTCGAAATTGATCATCATGCTTCTTGCAATGTCTTTATATCTAACAAGTCCCAATACTCAATTTTTTTTACGAAATATTACGAATTTTTGGCTTTGTTGCGGGTTTTTTCTTTAAATGCCACTGATCGTGTCATATTTTTTATTATTTTTTTCTTTTTTTTTAAGTAAAAAAGAGATTAATATTTTAAAAAATCTCAGGATATTATACACATTTTTTAAAAAGCTTCCCATTTAAATTCTATTGCACGAAAAAGAAAGAAAGGTAGGAGGAAAGAAAAAATGAAAAAAAAATTCAAATTCATATTTCAGTATGGTTTCAAATGTTAATGAGGAAGGATGTATGATTTTTTATGCACATTTTGTATTTCCCAATAAGGTAAGTTGAGTAGTGTCGGCTAACAAAAATGTTATTAAAAGTAATATAGGTTGACACATTTCAACAATTTGAATTATCTCATTTCGATTATTCACACGTTACTTATAAAATTGTTTCAAATAATTTCAGTTAGTTTTTAAATTATTAAAAATAAATATGTATGTACCTACTTCCAATAAATTTTTTTTTAAATAATTATTTTAAAACTATTTCAAACATGTTATATTGAGTGCTTCAAAAATTTTGCTGTGCTCTTTTTTCATATTTTATTAGCAGGTAAACAAGAGCAATCTATTTATAAAATGTCCCTGCATGTGTATGCATGACCTATCTTAATTCTAAACGGAAAGAATTTTAAAATACCTGAACAAAAATTTTAAAATACCTGTTATTTTACAGTCGGAATTTTCGAGTCATTTGGTAAAATACCATTTATTTCAAAAATAGAAAAATATTCAAATCCGGTCATAAAAATATATGATTGTTTTTTCCAAACATTTTAAATATTTTTTCAAATAAAAATAGAGGTAAAATTTTGAAGTTTATATAAAATTTGTATTTAACAAATAATATTTGATTGTATTTTAGATATTATTTTCTAATTCCCTCTTCAAATTTTTTCTTTACTATGTATTTATATCAATATTTAAGAATTATCTTTCATTAATTATATTTTCAACTTGACACCACAGGTACTTCCCATATCTTGCGTTAACTTACCCTATGAGAAAAAAAAGCTGTTCACTTAAAAATAATGAAATGCTTTCAGTAACAAATAAAACGTTGAAGGTGAAGGTTGTGTTTGTTGTTTTTCCGCTTTTTTTTAAATTTTAAAATAATTATCAATGAAAATATTAATATATTTTTTTGATTTTTCAAATATATGTTCTAAATTTTACCTGCTTTATAATAAGTGTGAATTTATTTTAATATTTCTTCTCAAAAAATAGCCACTTCGATTTAAAAAAGGCCATATAAAATAAGGTGTGCTTTCAAGTTTCTCTCTGAGCATTGGGACTTGTTAGATATAAAGACATTATCAGGATATTATACACATTTTTTGAAAAGCTTCCCATTTAAATCCTATTGCACGAAAAAGAAAAAATGAAAAAAAAATTGAAATTCATATTTCAGTATGGTTTCAAATGTTAATGAGGAAGGATGTATGATTTTTTATGCACATTTTGTATTTCCCAATAAGGTAAGTTGAGTAGTGTCGGCTAACAAAAATGTTAATAAAAGTTATATAGGTTGACACATTTCGACAATTTGAATTATCTCATTTCGGTTATTTATACGTTACTTATAAAATTGTTTTAAATAATGTCAGTTAGTTTTTAAGTTATTAAAAATAAATATGTATGTACCTACTTCCAATAAATTTTTTTTTAAATAATTATTTTAAAACTATTTCAAACATGTTATATTGAGTGCTTCAAAAATTTTGCTGTGCTCTTTTTTCGTATTTTATTAGCAGGTAAACAAGAGCAATCTATTTATAAAATGTCCCTGCATGTGTATGTATGACCTATCTTAATTCTAAATGGAAAGAATATTACATAAAAAACAAAAATTTTAAAATACCTGTTATTTTACAGTCGGAATTTTTGAGTCATTTGGTAAAATACCATTTATTTCAAAAATAAAAAAATATTCAAATCCAGTCATAAAAATATATGATTGTTTTTTCCAAACATTTTAAATATTTTTTTTTCTTAGGTAATTGATATAAATGGTAGTAAGTTTTTAATATTTTTTCAAATAAAAATAGAGGTAAAATTTTGAAGTTTATATAAAATTTGTATTTAACAAATAATATTTGATTGTATTTTACCCAGCATTTACACATACAAGTTACTTGCAAGCAAGTTTGTATAATATTAATTGTCAATTAGTTTTTCGAAATGTCAAATTACTTGCTGTTATGACGTAGGCGTTTAGCAAGTTAATTTTTGAAAATGTCTTTGAGAAGAAAACAACTAGCAATATATGTATATAATTGTTTATAAATTTTAGAAACCATAAGTTTGCTAAGTTTAATTTTTTCAAAACAAAATTCAAAAATTTTAAATTAAAAAAAAAAAAATCAAAACAACAAATTTTTTTTTGTGAATTTCTCAATATGTCAAATTACTTGCTCAATTACTGGCAGCAAAATTTTCTTGCAAGTTGAACTGCAAGTAAACAAGCAAGTAGAAATATTTCAATGTGTTAGTAAAATTTTTGTATGTATTGCAACTTTCTTGCAAGTAACTTGTACGTGTAAATGCTGGGTTAGATATTATTTTCTAATTCCCTCTTCAAATTTTTTCTTTACTATGTATTTATATCAATATTTAATAATTATCTTTCATTAATTATATTTTCAACTTGACACCACAGGTACCTCCCATATCTTGAGTTAACTTACCCTATGAGAAAAAAAAAGCTGTTCACTTAAAAATAATGAAATGCTTTCAGTAACATATAAAACGTTGAAGCCGAAGGTTGTGTTTGTTGTTTTTCCGCTTTTTTTAAAATTTTAAAATAATTATCAATGAAAATATTAATATATTTTTTTTGATTTTTTAAATATATGTTCGAAATTTTACCTGCTTTATAATAAGTGTGAATTTATTTTAATATTTCTTCTCAAAAAATAGCCACTTCGATTTAAAAAAAGCCATATAAAATAAGGTCGTGCTTTCAAGTTTCTCTCTGAGCATTGGGACTTGTTAGATATAAAGACATTAGAGACACACAGGGCGATTCAGTAAAGAGTACAATATTATGCACTCATCCCTCTCTTTCGTAATCTAAATCGAAAGTCCGTAAATCGAATCCTTTTCCTTACATTACGTTACAACCACATAATTATGCCCGTACCAACGTATGTTCGAAGTGTATACTAAATTTGCCTTACCGTTTGTAACGCTAAGAAATAATGGTATGTGATATAGACTCAAGTGTATGTTTTTAATCAGCGTCGAATTCTGAGTTGATTTAGTTTTGTCTGTCCGTCCGTCTCAGCGATAACTCAAAAACTAATTGAGATAATTTCACCAAATTTTCACAAATGGTTCATTATAGTAAATGCCAGACCCTATTTAAATTGGATATGATTGGGGTACGGGTCCGGGTAGCTGCCATACAACTTCAAAATTTATTTGACTACTTATATCTTAGAAACTATAAAAGCTTTGGTATTGAAACTTTGCACAAGTAATTAAATATATTAGTGGTTTATTACAACTTCAATAGTAGTTTGGCCATATCTTAGAAAATATTGAAAACACAGTACTGAAATTTTGCAGAAATTATTATGGTAATAGAGCAACTTAAAATCAAAGTCTGTCCCATAGTCAGTTATGACATATTTACTCGCACATAGGTTAATAAATTCGTACGGGTATCACAGAGTTGACACGGCAAACTGTATTTTATCTCGTTTTTTATTTAAACTTGTATACGTACATATATTTCTTTTAATATACAAAAAATACAGTAGGGAAATAATTTTTTTGCATTATTTTGCTCTGATCTCTGTTTTATAAAAAACATTATAGTACATAACCATGCATACAATGATTTTTATGGATCTACATAATATTTAACATTTGTACATGTATGTTTAAGCAAAAAATTCCTAGAAATAAGTTTTTTTATAAAAATTGTAATTTTTTAGACTACTTTTTCTTTTTGTATTTAAAAATTTTCCGTAAATCGAATTTTTATATTCCGTAAAAAGAGACTTAGATTTATTTTTTGAATTCCATAAAACCGAAATTCCGTATAAAGAGCTTTCGTTAAGCAAGGAATGAGTGTATATCATTATTTAGAAAATCAAAAATGGGTAAAATTTTTCTTTGGAACTAGTTGTCAACGCTTTCCGAGTTAGAGCCATTTTAATGAATTTTCATGAAATTTTTTCTTTTCCAAGCTTTTTTGCTTTAAACCAAAGTATATCTACTAATAATTGGTTCGACTCTCTCGACACTAATGCAATCACTCACCAATATTTGTATACGAAAAAATCCCTTAGTTAAAAGAGTTAAGCAGTATACCTCCCCTTATTTTCATTTTTATATACGCAATA